AATGGTTATGTAAATTAGTTTTCAAAAATAACGAGAAGATTTATAAAATAATATACCAGACGGCAGATAATTTACGACCACTAGCTGAAATAAATGATTGAAGCATGTTGGATTTGATAATGGATAAATTACAAGAAGAAGGTAGGTCTGGATGGGAGTTGTTGCCTAGTATTGTATCAGCTGAGCAAGAATTGAGCACCCAACACACAACTTTGTCTCCCAATGTAATTGTAATGTAACATAATGGCGTATATTAGAGATAGGTTTTTTATCAAAGATTGTTGCAATAGAATAACTAGAGAAGTAAATTTTTGTGTAGTTAGTAATATTTACAGTCTTCCATATCAAAGTTAGAAAATGTTTCGATTAATCATTTTACCGCTTATATTCGCTAAACAGTTTTTTTGTTTCTGTTCAGTTATATTTGGAAAAATTAGGGATAATATTTTTTTTTATTCAGTGGCCAAGCTCGCACTGATTCAAATTGTATCTGTATTTACTAAAATATATTCTTAAAAGCCTACGCAAGCACAGAATATTTCAGATTTTCTCCGAAAATAATAAATTTTATCTAAAGAAAGCAAAATAAAACAGCTATTTATATTTCATGGCTTCCCACATGATAGATGAAGAGATTAACTCTTCAAACTCTAAGCGGTCGAATTCGACCAAGGCGCTATTCCGTCAAAATTTAAGAGGTCGGATTCGACCGCGCACACCCACAGCACTTTAAACCATTAAAACTTATATTTACTTACTTTTCTATGAAGAAGTTTGGTTTTGGTTCTATAATAGAATTAATTTGAAATTTTCTATACTCTAGTGCAATAAAAAACAGTTATATTATGGTAATAATTAATAATAAGTAATAATTTCGAGTAATATATATTGTAATAATTGTGATTTTCACGCTGCCGACATTAGCTTGGTATGTTTTGTTATGGTTATCAAAATACAATAGTCTTTTTGTAATAAAGTAAAACCTGACTTTTATATAGAGAATTTTGTATATATTTAATTATGCCAAACTTCTTCATAGAAAAGTAGTCTCTAAATATAAGTTTTGATGGTTTAAAGAGCTGTGGGTGGGTGCGGTCGTATGCGACCGCTCGGGATTTGACGGACGCATGCAACCGCATGGGAATTTTAGAGGACTGAGAGGTTAAAAATAGATTGAGTTGAACAATTAATATTTTCAAAAGTTATCGTATTTACCCCGCCATGCGGACTTGAAAATCAACATCATAAGCCACTAAAAAACACTTTTTTATGTAAATATAGTATTTAGTCGCCTTAAAAAATTGATAATAATTAAAAAAATCAATGTACTTTCATATCATTTATATTTTCAATATGATTGTTTTCAATGATGTAGGTGTCTATGGGCCATATTACCACTTACCATTAGGTGCACTGTGTGCTCGTTTGCGACCCCTATCCTATAATATATTATATCAATTATGTGTCAACTTTTTTCACGTATATCTGCACCACTTTCATAAAAACATAAACTATATTTTCTGTTACACAACATAATTACGTACATGATTAAAGATTTTCCTTAACAACCGGTCAACTAATGATTTCTTATATCAAACAGTTGACCGGTTACCGGTAATAACCGGTCAACTGTTTGATATATCTCTCCATACCTCTGTAGTCTCCTATCCACTTATTAATTTGAAAGTAATTCACTGCTATTTTTGGACTACTTTCGCAGTAGGGAAAGAATTTGCGTTAAGTACCTCACTTGGAAGGAATATTGACGACCATAGTAACTCCTGTATCATACATGACGCTGCTTTATAAAAATAATATATACAGGACTTTAAGTGACTACCGCCGCCCATGATCAACCGCAACACCAGGGTAATTGCAGGTGCGTTGCCGACCCTTTAGAAAGGAGTAAGCTCTTTTCTTGAAGACCCCTAGGTCGTATCGGTCCGGAAAAATCGCCGGTGGTAAACTATTCCACAGAGAGGTTGTACGCCGAATAAAACTCCTTTTGAAACCTACAGTGGTGGACCGCCAAGCATCCAGATGATGTGGATGGTATCGGGACGTTTGCCGCGTAGTGCGTTCACGAAATTTGGCGACTGGGATTAATCCGAACAATTCCTCAGAGCACTCTCCATGGTATATGCGAAAGAAAATGCAAAGAGATGCAACATCTCTTCGCAGTGCCAGTGAATCGAGCCGATCGGAAAGCTGCTTACCTACTCTTAATACGAAATAGTTAAACGGCAATAATCCGCCACGGCGATGACGGTATGAGATAGGGTGACAAATGCTCTTAAGCTGTCACCATACGTGGATTAATATATTTACGACTCGGTAACGGGTTGAAACGTGAAGAGTTTAATATTATACAATATTTTATAACCACTGATTAATGTTGTAAAAACACAACGCAGCCGGTGGCTTGTTCATATAAAGCTTATGAGAAATAATTGAAACATAAAGACAGCATATTATATAGGTCTACGGATTGGCCTTTTTTTATTCAGTTCACCTACGCGTGCTGGTTGAATCTATGCAAAGTTTTGCAGGATGAGAACAAGTGTCATGTTTTTGTGTCGGAAGTCAAAGCCACTTCGTGGTCACTGTATCAGAAGAGAGTGAGTGGAGGTAATTAAGGTTACTTCGTATTGACTATTCTTGTATTATTGACGACGCTTAGGCGGAGTACCTAGCTTTATAACCCGTGGAACGTACAGTCAATTAGCGAAAAATAAATAATAATTTTTGCTGCCTAGTGGGTTATGATATTTCTCATTTTCACTGCATACCATTTTACCTACAAGCTTATGACATCAGTAGAGGTTATGGCGAGACTTTTTTTGAGCGAAAACACTTTTATGGACCTGTAGTACCTTCTGCGCAATTGAAATATTCGGGGTATTAACATGGAAATGTAAGGGAAAACAGACGAGAATTAGACACTTTTTTACTGATAATTCCTCAAGAGTGACAAGACATTTATTTTTTCAACTTTTATATCTGTAGTCTAGAGCTCCTTACTCAACCTTAATTCTATAAAATAAAATATATATATTTGCCTTTGAAACTTGTTGCCTGATGGTTTAGAACTTTAGTCCGATATCTAAAAGGTTATATCCCCGAAACTCTTCACCGCTGCATTGGAAGAAGTTTTCAAACTGCTGAACTGGAAAGGATACGTTATTAACATCAATGGCGAGTACATCACTTACCTTAATTTTCCTACGATATAGTCCTTATAGCAGAATCGCTGAATGACCTAAGCAGTATGCGCAACCGATCGCAACAGTATCTCCCAACGGATAGATCTTAAGGTGAACATGGACAAAACAAATGTCATGTATAACGTTCATGTCACAGCTATACCGGTAGTTCTTAAGAGTATTAAGCCCGAAGTTGTTGACGAGTATATTAACCTGGGAAAAATAGTCCAACTAGGTAAGTCCAACCTCAATCGACGGATTCAACTCGGCTGGGCAGCGTTCGGGAAATTACGACATATCTTCTCATCAGGTTTACCTCAAAATCTGAAAACGAGATTGTACAACCAGTGCGAGTTGGTAGTGATGACTTATGGATATGAGACGTGATCTTTCACTTCTGGCCGTAGGAGGACGCCCAATGTCGTTCAGCGAAGTATGGGGAGGGCTATGCTCGGGGTTTCTCTGCATGATAAACTTAGAAATGAGAATACCCGCAGTAGAAACAGAGCGATCGACATAGATCAACGGATTAGTAAGCTAAAGTGGCAATGGACCGGCCAAATAGCTCGAAGAACTGACAACCGATGGGGAAAAAATTTCTCAAGTGGCAGCCTTGTACCAGTAGGTGAAGTGTTTGGCGACCCCCTACTATATGGAGTGGCCACCTGGTAAGACATGCAGGAAGTCGATGGCTGTAGGTGGCTCAGTACTGTTTTTGTGTTATTCCTTGGGGGAGGCTTAAGTGCAGCAGTTGACTTGTGAAGGGCCGTAATCATGATAACCTAAAGGGTGCAAGTAAAATAATATTTACATTCAATTATTGATGTTTACAGAAAAAGACAGGAGTGTAAAGAACAATTAAAGCACGTAAAAGGAAAAGGGAAAGTGGTTTCGCTTACGACGTACAGTGGCGTCGTTACAGTAACTACTACTTCCTATCACCCGGTGGATGTCATATGAGGTGACAGAGAAAAAAATAATGGATGATGGGTATCAGAATTGTACTGGCAAAAACTTAAAATTATAAACACTGGGTATTCAGCCCGTCAGCCAAGAGTGGCAACTAATGGAAACGGTTCACAGTGGAGGCCCTATGAGGAAATATTTGAAGAGACGTATATTTTTTGACTCTAGATAGACCTGCATCTGTAAATTTTATCTAGTATATTGATAAAAGAGTTTATTGATAAAATAGGTCATGATAACCGAACGTTAGCGGAAATCATTCCAATAGAAACGATGTTAAATCCCAAATACAATTAAGCCTTTATCATTATTTGGTTACCGCTGCACCTCTGTCTGCTCAGCTTGAGTATGGACAAATTTTTATGAACCTCCATCAATAAAGTATATCTATGCAGAGCTGTCTTAATTTTTATTTTTCTTCTTCTCAATCTACGAAATCGACTGGGTTGCGCTTTAACCTCGAAAAAACAGCCTTTAGACATGTTTATTTCTATCAAAATTGCAAATTTTAGTCTACAGTTTTATAAGTAAAATACAGAGCTAGTGGGATTCACTGTATCGAGGTTAAACTGTTACCAAACTTTGAAAGCACGTTGTAGAGAAAACTTAGCGAGTAGTTTACAAACTGCTAAACTCTCAAATTATTCATTACGTTAAAGTTCACGTGGTCTATGAAAGTTAAGTTGGTATGAATCAGTTACTGTAGTGATACTTACATGAAATTGAGTTTCTTGTTTGATATTGCAGTAAAAAATATCGCATAATATATCGATATAGATGTGTGAACAATAAATTTTTCCTGATAAAACTGTCAATTAACAATATTGTAGATCACTGTGCTCCACCAAACCTTAAATCTGAAAATGGACTCAAAATTTCGGATGCCCTAGAAATATGTGAAATATTCAATGAATTTTGTGCGAACAAAATACCTAGTGAGTTCCATAACAACACCACACATAGTATCAAGTCTTGATCTTGGCATATTACACCATTACTGTCTCAATTCAATCTGTAAAAAATACTGTCAATGAAGTAACAAAAATAATAGATGACTTGGAACCCAATACCAGCGTGAATCTGCAATGGGGAATATCATATCTTGCACTCTAAACTCAGATGATACCCAGATAGATTTTTGTCACTTTCCAGAATGAGTATTTCGTCTTTGATGAACTCGTATATTTAATCGGGCTAGTAATAGTCAAACAAGATACAACTTTCTGGCTCGCTATAACCGTTGAAGAACGGCTTGGGTTTACTCTCCGGTAAGTACCGTAAGTAGTATAAAAATACAACTAATTTCTTTTTTTATTGATGTTCTATACCTATAATCAAATTCAAATTTGTTTTTATAAATCAATTAGTTCTTATTCTGACTCTGAAAAGTTTGACCAGTATGAAACATTATCATCATGAACATGTGGAGGGGGCGGCGTTTGACTTTCTGGAGATGGACTTTAAAGTTGCATATCAGATGATTTTTTATCCTGTAGGCCTATGATAGAGTGCTGATGGGATTCTGTCAGACGTTGTGATAAATTTGCGTGACATGTGGAATGGACTTAGCAACTATTCTTTAGCTGAATATATTGATCAGAAATAATACGAACAGAATTTGATGGAGTAATACGTCTGGAAGCTCTTGGAAATTTTGAAGTACCTACTAGTTTGAATGGTATTAAATGATATATTTTACAGTAATCTGTTTTTCTTGGTTTCTTGGATTTTTTGTAAATGCGCACTTCTAATTTTTCGTCAGAAGTTAGTTCTTTCATAAAAGGAACCAAATATAAGCAATAATTCGTCATCTTCCTTAGACTGAAGCGCCTTTATTATTTGTTCGTCAAAGTTGGTTTTTTTAATTCTCCGTTTTATTTGCGGGTATAATTGTGCATCGACTGATAAATTTGCGTCGTCCTGGTTTGATTCACTGTCCTCAATACTACCTTTAGTAGTTCGTGACCCCAGATAGGGTATTAAAAATAACACGATCTCGAATTAAACATAATATTTTTGAAGCCTTTTTGAAGCTGCTTGTCCAGATTTTACTGACTTTTGAGCTTTTAGTTCTCTAGCGTAGCAAATTCACATGTTATTCCATTTTTTTTTGGATTTCAAGACCTAAAACAAACAATGCTTTTGAAATTTGTTATTCAAATTACTTTTTTTCTCTACATATTGTAAAAGTATGTTGCCTTCTAAATTTATCGTAAGGTCTAACCTTACGATAAATTTTGAAAAACAATAACTGAACAATTTTCTGCTAGAAGTTTGATAAATGAAGAAGAAAAAAATTGGTCTTTCCATACAAATTGAATTCCATACAAGGATCCTAAAATGTATATTGCGACAAACGATATTTAATAATGATTTTTTGCAGGTATTTAGCAACGGGGACATATTTTTCACAATTTTCGTTAGATTATTTGATTGGTGAATCTACAATAAGAAAAAGAGCGAAATCTACTTGTAAGCGAATATGAAATGTACTACATTTTTAATATATGCCTCAAAAAACTAAAGAATAATGGATCTGTTCAAGAATCTATGAACGTACAAATTTTCTAAATGTTATAGGGGTAATAGATGGGAAACACGTTCGAATCGTACAACCGCAAAAGTCTGGATCGTCCTTTTTTAATTACAAGAAGTTTTTTCTTGTGTTTTGATGGCTTCAACTGATATCGACTACAAGTTTGTCTATATTGATGTAGGATCCTATGGAAGCAGTAGTGATTCTGAGGTATTTAAGTCATCACAAATGGGCAAACTATTAAATGAAAACAGACTTAATATTCCCACTGGACAACACTTAATTTATTGAGATGACCTGTAATGCCATTAAAGTTATCTTTTATGAAGCATTTGGCCTTTAAAATCATATATTACGTCATTAATCAAAGAAAAAATAGAACTACGTAAAACGCATATTTAACTACAAACATCCACGACTAGATCACGCCGATAAGTAGAATGTGGCCTATTTTGAATGTTTTTGTATGCGCATGTTATTGCATCATGTTCGCAAAACTAGCTATAGAGACCTTAATTATAATAACTAAAAACTTAATTAAGAATAAAACTAGATGTCTGTATGCGTTTTAACCTCTGAGGATTAAGATAGAATGCTTCTCATCTGTAAAAGGGTCTCCAGTTCACTACACTCACCATATGAAATACAGCAACATTATACTGCTATTCCACGCTTAAATTCCGTGATATTATGGTCCTTGCCTGCTCGAGCCGACCTATCCGTGCTGCAGCCATAATATATCTGGATCATTATAGCAGCAGCACACGCAGCCCTACAATTTTTTTATAAAAGCTCCAAATAAGTAACCGTTTACAGCACAGCAGCATAAATTTTTGATAAATATTTGTAAGTATATTCTTTCGATATATTTCCAAAAATTGAGATTTATACGTTTTATGTATGTACCGAATAAGCTCCGAAACTACTGTACGGATTTTAACATTTTTTTTACCAATAGAATGCTAAATTATTAGCAAGTAACATAAACTGTGACTTTAAAAAAATAGGTAATTTTATATTATCGCGGTCACCTCGTTTTTTGGCTCCAGAAAATCGAAAAATCATCGTATTTCAATTAATTTTTTTTTCAAAATCTTCGTCTTTATGGCGGATTTATGAAAAAAATATGTAAAATATCTCACCTCAAGATTTCATATAGTTTTATGACTTTAAATATCATAAACGCACTTCTTCGAATATAATCTTTCATAACTTTTTTGCAAAGTATTAAACGAAGTTTGTATATTTTTATTGTTTATCTACACAAAAAACAAATATGTAAAAAAGCATTGAAAAATGTTTGTTTATTAACAATATAAACTTGCAACAATTTATGCTCTTAACCTTTTCTTGGAAAAAATGAACCAGTTGGATGGTACCTATATCTGACCTTATACAGAAAATATTGGCGAAAACCCAGGCGTGCTTATCCAAAAGATATCATCTAAAAACATGAACCCTTTCTGATTCAATTTAAAGAGCCTCGTAACTTATCCGCATCTTATACATTTAGAGTTTTCAGAGGTTCTTCTGGTTCACCAAGTAACGGAAGAGAAACTTTTCCATTGAAACAACACATACTTGCGGCTCATCTCATGAGCTATCATAGCAGCTTCTTGCTCCATCTGTTTTGTAATTCGGCATGAACGCAGGATTTCTGAAATCAAGCAATTATTGCAACCCGGGCTTGCGATGAGCTCCTGTATATGTTAGAACTATGTTAGCGAGGCATTACAAAGAGAAATATATACAAACTGAAAAAGGAAAAAAATTGAGAAAATATGCAAATAGCAAAAGTGGAACTAGAAGTAAGATAACCAACCTCAAAATAATAAAATAACCTCAGAAAATTGTTCTTATTGTCTTAAAATATATACACCTATTATATATATTTATTTTTGATGATTGAATGATAGAATCTATGATTGATGATGAATGATTTTTTTTAAATAAGTAAAAAAAATGTCTCACAGCTTTAATTTTGCTTCCTACAGTCAAACTAAGTATTTTATCTATGAATTTTACAAGATATTTACACTGCCATCTATTTGAATAAAGCCATATTTTTTAAATAACCCATTTTCGCCTCTGGCACCCGCGGGATGAAATGGAGTGGTGGATTCTCATACGACGCCACACGGTGTATTTAAGTTGTCTTCTTGTACTCGTGTTCTCTATATTTATTCTAAAAACTTATCATAGCTATTCGTGGTTTGAAATTGTAGCACATTGCGGTATACATGAATTGATTTAGGGCGCTACTTGTCGCATGCACTACAATTGCAATTAGCAAAGCGCTTTGGTTCTTGCGGCCGTGTCCATTGAATGCAAGACTTGCATAATTATGTTAATATTCGCACAACTGTTGCCTTTATATTATTGTTTGCAACAAACGAGCGGCTTTGTTTATAATTATGATATAAAATGCGTCTATTATAATCATTGAAGTATATTTTTTATTTTGTCTGATATTCAGGTTTCCGATAGATATTTTCGTTTAGATATTTTCCTTCAATTCCAAGCACATGGTAAATCAACACTTGAAATTACAGCTAACAATTTCGTTTGAGCCGGCGGGGATCGAACCCGGCTTGTGCTGCATACTATGAGCGCTTAGCCTCTTTTATGATTTATTAATATTATTATTATTAGTTAAAAAAAAAACAAATTTGTTTGTTTTTAGAACATCTGTGGAAAATTAACTTGGGATTGTATTGAATAATTAACTTATTGTTAAGGCTTGTTACTAACGGGGCCATAAATAAAGAAAATATTTGTGTATGTGTGTGTGCGTGTATGTGAATCAATATTAGGTTTTTCATCCTAGCCCGCTACAGTACACACTTCTTCCACTAATTTTCTGGAAGTTTAGTTTTAGTTTTAGTTTTTAGTTTACTGAAAGTAAATACCATATGTGTGTGTTAAATAAAATAAAATAAAGACTAATTAATATTATAGCTTTTGACAAGTCCTTGACCCAGCAACCAGAGTTCTTATTTAAAACTAGCTGTGCCCGCGACTTCGTTCGCATGTAATCTTTTTCTCCAATTCTTTTATATTTTCAAACAGAGTATATATAATTATATGTTTATTATAATCAAGCAGATTATTTTATACCTACCTGAACGTTAGCTTCGTGAAAAAGGCTAAAATAGATCAAATTTTTTACTTTTAATTTTGGATGACTTGATGGCAAGGATTAGCCATTTTATGATAATATCCACATTTTAAGAAAACCTAATGCCAGCTATCTACCACCTAATCCATTTCTGGTTTTCGAATAATAAAATCTTAATAAATACAAAACAAGGAGTCAAAAAAGGGGATATAAATATGCAATTTAATTTAATGGTTTTATTTATTTAATCACGGTTTTGTTAGAACTTCAAAAGTAAAAGAAAATGTAAAAAAATATATTCAGTTAACAAAGGACCTCTTCATAAACAACGTTCACCGTTTTGTTTTGTGGTGCTAAAATAAACAAATTAGTGGGATCGCTGATACGCGACATTGCCACATAGAGCTGCCCATGTGAAAAGCAGCTGTTCGTAAGGTCAACGCCTACTCTGCTTAGCGTTTGACCCTGTGCCTTATTTATCGTCATTGCAAAGCAAACACTCACCGGCAGTTGGACCCGTTTAAAACGAAACGGAAAGTTATTCGGAATAATCGGTATTCGTGGAATAAAAACTTTCTCACCCGCACCGCAACCGGTAAGTATCTCTGCCTCAACCACATGTCTCTGGAGAGCAACTACTTTGAGCCGAGTACCATTGCATAATTTTGGTGGACTTAAATTTCTTAAAAGAATTATGGGGATCCCTACCTTAAGTTTAATTTCATGTGCAGGGAGCCCAGACGCCGTTAATGCATTCAAAAACTCTACAGGATATGCTGTTACTTCTTCACGGTCAACTACTCTATTTATTGACGTATAGGTAACATTCTCCCCTTCAATACGTTCTAAAATGGTCATGTTGATACTTACAGCTTGATCATTATGAGGCGTAAGTATAGCGCGCTCACAAAGCCAAGAGTTTCCTTGGTTTACTATACCTGCCAGATCTTCATAAACAGATATAATAAGTTCCTCAATGTTAAGGACTGTTTTGCACAAATTATTAATTAAATCTATTCTACCATCAACCTCAGGAAACCTACCTTCACCAATACTCAATAATAACTGTGAGAAATCTTGAGCATTTGTGTTCTCGCCTCTTTGCGCTCGCATGTTTGTGGTGAGATTTAACCTTGTAATATGGGGCCAAAGAATTGAATTTTTTAAACATGCGCTAATTTCATCGGCTCTTGTCCCGCGTGTAACTATTGGCAATGTCTGCCGAAAATCTCCACAGAAGAGCATAGTGACTCCGCCCATAAGTTCATTGTTGTGTCGTATATCTTGCAGCGTTCTATTGACGGCTTCTACTGCTTTGCGATGCGCCATTGTACATTCATCCCATACAATTAAGGTGCACTCACGAAGTACTCGAGCTATGTCACTATTACGTGAAATGTCGCAAACGGGGGTTTCAGTGACGTCTAATTGTGTGGGTATTTTGAACATGGAATGTGCAGTTTTGCCTCCTGGAAGTAAGGTAGCTGCTATTCCGGACGATGCCACGGCCAATGCAATTTTTCCCTGGCTACGTATTTGCGCAAGGATAAGTTTCGTAAGAAATGTTTTACCAGTACCGCCAGGGGCATCAAAAAAAAACATTTCACCAGAGGTGTTCAAAGCGCTGTTACATATACGATCAAAAATAATTCTTTGTTCGGGGGTCATGATAGGTACACCTACTTGAAGAATTTGGGCCAGTTCCTCTGAGTCGTAATTGGATTCCGTTTCATACTCTCGATTAGTTTGTTCGACATTTAAGATTGGTTCAGGTAATCCATAGCGTATTAAGGGATTACCACCAATTGAAAAAACTGTGTTTTGTATATCACACAAACAACGATTCAATACATCATTGAGCATCTCTTGATTTAGTTCACCATGTTCAAAATTAATGTAATCTTCAGCTAAACTTTTCTGGTGTTTAACCCAAAGTTGATTAGCATCTGAAAGGCCACAAAATACTAACAACACCGCAAATAAATTCCGTAAACGACGCGGGCTATCACTAACAGATGCTTCAGCGAGGGTGTTGTCCCAGTGCTGGTCGTCGTCCAATAACCCTCGAGCCCGGCAAGCAGCTTGAAAAGAAGGATATTGAGTGTTGTTGAACATTTTCAAAGCCAAAAATGATGTGGGTCCTCGTACTGTATGCAAAAGTAAACGTACGTAAAAACATTCGGAGTTATTGGGATGTACAGTGTACACTCTGCCGAGCACATGTTCTTTAAAAAAGGTTGGGAAAACCTTCAACAGGAATACCACGTCGGCGACGATTAAAAATCCTGTGTTGCTTATCGTATGTATAATACGCTGGAACTTCGTCATAAAGCAAAGTTCTTGCGAAATCGTCAGATTCGCATAATCGAAAGAACGCCAGTAAAGTTGTTTGTCTAGGATTTTCTAGTTGCTCCACAATATTGTCTGGGTGAAAATATACGCGTTGTCCGCCTTCCACGTGAACGTCTAAATGCATTACCGGGGGATTACGCTCGCTTATTGGGAAACTGAATATTCGCCATGCTGCCTCCGAAGAACTTATGTATCGCCCTGATTGAAATCTTGTAATTTCGTCAAATCTGTCGTTGCTCATTGCAAGTGTTGCTTGATCCGTCCCTTTATTTACATACTTAAAAATGTATTTAATTGATTCAACACTGTTACACATTTCTACGTTTATATGGGTTTGGAAAGTTCTCGATAGCACAGGTGAGTACGGCACTACCCACCTGTTATCTACTTCTACATCTTGTCCAAACATTCTCAATTTTGTGGTGAATCCTCCATACTGTGGAGCACGCCGCCGATATTTGGGATAACCATCTTCACCAGTGATTGTTTCTCTTAAAAGGGGTCTTGGATATTTTTTTCGTACATTGTCCATCCTTCATGCACGGAGAATTATTATTTAATGCACCGCAAGGCCCGTGTATCATCTGTGTTTTAACAATTTGGTGTAAAATAGGATCATTTGTGGGATTTGGTAATTCTGCACTTATTATATTATCAACGTCATTAGGACGAATTTTTTGTAATAACCATAGAAGAATGTGAGCGTGGGGCAGCCCTCTTTTTTTGCCATTCCACGTTGTATGTATAGCATGACGTAGCGCCAAAAACGTTTTGCTTGGTTAATAAGTTGATTAACAACCTTAACTTTAAATAAAAAACTCGACTAATTAAATCGTGTCGATCGTACGATGCTTGACCTTCTAGCAGCTCTTGAGAAATCTTGATCCATTTAGGGTTAGTAGTTATTGTTATGAAAAGATCTGGCCTACCATACTTGCGAACATAACAGAATGAGTCTTGAACGCGTTCATTCATATTTCGGGGACTCCCGATAAAGCTGGAAGGCAATATAACTAAACGTCCTAAATTTTCTTTGCGTGTATCTCCCTGTACTGCATCATGAAGATCCACATAATTTTCGGCACGCAACTGTCTCTGATGAGTACGAATGAATACTAAACGCTCTGTTTCAACTTTTGCGTACATATCAACAATAAACTGGTTAAATAAGCCACGAAATCGTTGTAAATATACAAAACGACGTTGTCTTATTTGGATGAGATAACAATAAAATTGCAGAGCCGAAACTTTTCTGTCTAACCGAGGTGCTCCTGTAGCGGGGTCAACTTGATAAACCGTAAAGTTGTAACCATCTTCACCGCGACAGTAAATAAGTGGGTATTGTAAGGAGTCGTAAGAACGATGAGTCTCACTAATTCGTTGCAGGCGGTCATCACGCGTGCGTACTATAATGTCGCGCTTGTCGCATTGCTGATCCACCAGGACAACTGCCACTTCATTGGTGGATGGAGAATTATAACGGCCGGAATGTTGCACTAAAGGTCGCTTATCCGCGCTAATAACAAACTTATAATTATTGTATTCATCTTGAGGGATCGACTCTAGTACAGCTTTGAAATTGGATACATAAGGGTTGACCTGATGAAGCATGCCCTGAAGCTCTGAGATAACATTAGCGTTTAAATTTGGGAAATTCTGCCTCCTTATATTGGCTTGTTCATGGTAATCAGAAACGAAATATATTTGTAAAAACTTTGGTTCTGTCTCAGGCAAAAAGCGAACCAATTAAGTGGTAGACTTGCCCCTGCACTTTAAAAGTAGGCATAAATGTTCCATGTACCACTTGCTTGGCCCCGAAAGAAGTCATCTGGAATGCCCCATTGTATGAACGGATATTGTCTAAAAACTGCTTGGAATGTGGATGGTCCCCATTAAGTAGCGATTTAAGAGGTTCTGGGGGCTCTTGAAATATTTCCAATTGTACCTTGCCAGCTGAACAGCAAAACCCGTTTGATTCTTTAGACCACTTAAGTGATTGACAATGACTACAAGTGCGAATCATTCTTCCGATCTCGGCAAATTCACTATAGTCAATATTAAAAGTGTAGGTAAAACCACTATTTTCTTTATCAACCCAAGGGAGATCAGTGTAGTTCTCTCTGTCCATAGATGGCGGAGTAAAGGTGGGTGAACGATTTATAAAAGTACGAATACGATCAGCTTGTAACCGAATTGCACGTTCACTCTCTGTCTCGTTACTCCTAATTGCTTGCACTCTTTCCCTTTGTAAAGACAAAAGTTCGTTACGGTGTTGAAGCGAATTTTCATAATATCCCCTTGCCAATTCTAAGCGTAAGTCATGCTCCTGCTGGGTTTCATGTGTCCTACTTACCGAACGGCTCTCCCTATCTGCTGCTAACCTCGCTTCATATTGAGTAAATGATTCCGAAGCACGTGATCTTGCATGACGTTCCCGGTCTGCAGTCAAGCGTTCCGAATATTGAGTTAGCGTTTCTGAAGCGCGAGACTCAGCATGACTTTCACGGTCTGCAGTCAACCGTTCTGAACACTCCGTAAATGTTTCCGAAGCGCGAGACTCGACATGACGCTCACGATCTGCAGTCAAGCGTTCCGAATATTGAGTAAACGTTTCTGAAGCGCGAGACTCAGCATGACGCTCACGGTCTGCAGTCAAGCGTTCCGAATATTGAGTAAACGTTTCTGAAGCGCGAGACTCAGCATGACGTTCACGGTCTGCAGTCAACCGTTCTGAACACTCCGTAAATGTTTCCGAAGCGCGAAACTCAGCATGACGCTCACGGTCTGCTGTCAAGCGGTCTGAATATTGCGTAAACGTTTCTGAAGCGCGACTTTCAGCATGACGTTCACGGTCTGCAGTCAACCTTTCTGAATGCTCCGTAAACGTCTCTAAAGCTCGAGACTCGATATGACGTTCACGGTCTACTTTTAAACGCTGAGAGTAATTTGTTAATGTTTCCGAAGCGCGAGACAACGCGTGACGTTCGCGATCTGTAGCTAAGCGCGTTTCATTATTAAAACTGGACTCTGATGCCCGAGATTCCGCAGTTTGTTCTCTATTGTAAGCTAAACGGTGCTCACGGTCCTCATTTGTCTCTTGCGATCGAACTTGTCTCATCCTTTTAGCCCTTCTAGTGTATTGAGAAAGACTACTTTTCTTTTTTTCCGGCATTATTTAAAATTTATTCAACAACCAAAACACAAAATAAAATCCTTATCCGAAAATGTAATCACGTATGTAACAATTTAGTGATCACTTAACCTTAGACTACAATAATAATATTATTTAATTCAATTTAATTTAATTTAAATTTAATATATTATTACAGTCTAAAAAATCCAAACAACTAATTCCGTATCTTAAGACAAAATATCAGAAATCCGTAAATCCGTAATATGATGTCATGAAAGGTAAAAGAATAGAAAACTTAGCACACAGTATTATAGTATTATCACAAATATAACAACTTTTACAAATTATCATATTGAGTAGATATAAAATAATGTGTCATTAAGAAAACTCACGAAAAATCTTAGCTACGCGAGGTAGATGTTCAGCAATGACATCTAACGGAACGTAACGGAAAATAGTGAAATAAAACAATTATCATTGTACCAATATATATTTCATAAAAAAAAATAGTTATATTCCTATTATAGGATAGAAAAGGACCTAACTAAAAATTATAATTGTTTATTATGTATTTATACAAATAATATATACAATTTAAATAATATATACAATTTAAATAGTCGCCGTGAAGTGACGTAGTTAGAGAACCATACTGTTTAATGAGGGCTAATAATTTTCTGCTCACCAGATGTCGCTAGTTGACACTGAGATAAAGTTTTTTGTTACACAATGTCATTTAATGGAGAAGTAAGTTTTTAATAAAAGTTTATCAGTTTCTAGAGTATTATACTAATACCAAAACAATGAGTCAGTGGTTTGCTGTTTAATTTTTTGCACATTTTTAACTTTTTTAAAATTTTTCTACTTTCATGAATATTATGTATTTTTAATTTTAAAAATATAAAATATAGCAACAGTACAGAAAGAAACATTAACCTTTACATTTTTCGAACAAATTAACTTCCCCGCCCTGATATCTGTCAAATATTATACCTCACTTCACCTTCACAAGTGGCGCCACACTGGTGGCAGAAAAAGGTGTGGATGCCGTCATTGTAACTTACTTTTTCTTAAATGGCGCTATTATGTATTTAAATTAAACTTGATTTTCATAACGATAGACAAAATTTAAAAGCAATACATACATATAAAAAGCTTCTATAAATGTTTATATTTTTTAATAAAACTTTAATATGTATAATAAATAATTTATTAGTGCCTGAAGGGAAAACGTAACACTTTTTGCATTTTAATAATAGATGGCACTGTCTTATAAACATACAACGTAGTCGGTGAAGTTTTAAACTAAGTTTCAACGGTTAACATAGTATATTAAGCTTCAGTTATAAATATACATTACAAATTAAGAACTTTATGTAATCTACCTTAAGACTAATGACATTTTATGCACTTATTATAAAATTATAAAATTAACTCCAAAGAAAGGTAAAAAAACATAACCTTCTTTTTTTGATGCTCCGTAATCGGATAAAAAGTAGCCTATAAGTTGCCCCGGGTTCTTAACTACCCACTTACAAAATTTCATGTAAATCCGTCTTGTAGTTTATGAGTGAATCCGTAATACACAGACAGACAGACAGACAGACAGACAGACAGACAAAAATTCTAAAAACTACTAATTTGGTTTCAGTACCGCTTGTTTAGTCCCCTGGACTTGTTTTTTTCAAAAAATAATAGAATTACAGACACGACTTTTCTACAGATTTATTATATGTATAGATGCTTCGAAACATGAATTCGAATAACAGTAATATCTAATATGTTTTCCGAGCAGGTTGTTTATTTTTGTATATGGGTATAATTTTGCCCGTAATTGTGACATTTTATCTTGTATCTTAGATAAGCGTCGTTAGAAACGTGTTTTTTATATAGAATAAGGGTGACAAACACACACCAGTGTGGTGACATAGTCCACCTGATGATAAGTGGATACTGTATCCTATAGACATCTACATTTATCCTCGATTAAGATTCAAAACGTACATGCGTTGTTACCCCTGATGACACAGATAAAATACCTGGTTTCCAGTAAAGAAGGGTCTCTGAATCTCTGCACTCACCATACGAAACACAGCAGTATTAAGCTGCTATTTTACGCTGGTATTCTGTGAGAGTATGGTCCTTTACCGGTCGAGCCGACCCATTCGTACTACAACCATAATATAGCTGCAGCGTGGCGCTACCACGTATAAAAACGTGTGGGTTAGCGTATTTGTATTTACGTTCTAGAAAATTTTGTGTGACACCTTAACTTACTTTACCCTTACAGCCTATTAAAAGTCCACAGCTGAACATAGGCCTACCCCATAATTTGCCTAATAAGAGGGATGTTTGCCTCAGTTGCCAAACTTGGCAGGCGGGTTGGAAAACGATATTTTGATGACGATTTACCTGGCGGTAAGTATATCTGTGATCCATGGACATCCTCATCTATCATCGATTTAGATTCAAAATTCAGATGCGTTGTCAACCCTGAGGATTTAGAATAAATATCTCGGTACCAGTAGAGAGGGTCTCTAGTTCTTAACACTATCATAAAAACACTGCAGATTTATATTGCTATAATATTATATTATGAATGTTGCAACCACGACGTATTTTTTATAATAATATATCATGATATATATTTTTAAGTAATCATAACCACAAGTCACAAGAATTTTGTGTAGTAAAAATACCCTCCATAAATAAAGTATTAAAACCTTACTAAACATGTAATAAAGTGACACTTTAATTTTTCGGACTTGTGAATTCTACCTCAGAGAGCAGTGAGACACTTAATTAATAGAAGTGCATCATAAATAACACCGTCTTACTTTTGTCGTTTGCGTCTAAGTCCTTGAAAAAAATTACAGCGTTGTAAAGTAAGAAAGGAAATAAATTGTCACCTCCTGAAATATTATTTTCTGCGACACTTAACCTGAACCTCAAATAAAAGGAATAATATATTGCAGTGTTTTGTTTTTATGGTTATGGCAAAGTAAAAAGTAAAGACAAAATTTTGCTTAGAACATACATTTTTATATTTAATGAAATGATTAAATTACTTATTTTTATCTTTATAAAACTAAAGTGACAACGGACGTACTGTCAATCTGATGGTAAGTAGCGATTGCAACCCATGAATACCTGCAGCCAATTCCATATCAAGAAGGCCACCTCTGACAACGTGTCTCTTTACATTTTAGCCCAGAACACAGCAGTATAAAAGCTGGTATTCGGCGGCTATTTGTTATTTACCTAGACGGACTTCTAAGCGCATCCCTACTACCTTGTAAAAGCTTATTAAAACAATTTGTTTATTTTTTGGTACTGCTGCTTATTTCAGTAGCAGTGTACCCAATTTTGTGTTCCACTTTGAGAGTAAGCGAGTCGGTTTAGTTATAGACTATGAAGTATTCAACTTTTGTATTCAGTGTTGACAAGGCATCTGTTTATTTCTTTGTTTGCGTGGATTTCATTATTATATGTGTACATGGGTCGTAAAAGTATTAGAATAAAACAGGAGTAGTGTTTTGACGATGCCCTGGTAGACAAACTTGGTATTTTACGTAAGGCGCATACAAAATAGCTGCTTTGTCATCTTTCTTTCTTCGACACTTACAATATGAACTTATTTAATAATCACAAGCAGTGAAATTCTGTGGCCTTATGGAAGTTCATTTGTCGCCCTGTTTTGTAAAAAAATGTAATAATATCAAACCAACTATTATTAAATTTATTAGTTAAAATGTTGATACTATACATTTATAAGCTGTTGATAAAAGTAGTTGCGTAGGTATAAGCTCAAAGATTATTAGAATTAAATCGTTGGTGCTGATTTGAAAGAGACTATACTTGAATACAAAGTGGGAAATTTATAAAGTTTTGAATTGAAAATTAAAGTTTTAATATATAATTGCTACATATTAACTACATCAAAACACACCATCCAAGATGGGGCAGTAAAAGCAATTGAGTTAATAAAAACTCTCTCTCTCTCTCTCTCACTCTCGTTTTTCGTTTTTGTTTTATTTGCATTGAAGTAAATTTTAAGTAAATTAAAAATAAAATAGTATTCTATTAAATGCAAAACCAAATATGTAACAAAACGTTCAATGTTGAGAGTACTTAATTATTTATTGAAATAAATAGACAAACTAGTTTTCCATATTATCGACGTTTTTTGTTTTGTCAATTGTTTTAGATTAGAAAATAAAAAATGATTGTTGATATCAAAGTACGATAAAAGGAGACTTTTAACGGCTGAGCTTTATTCGAGACAAAGTAATTAGGCCAGATGCTACTACTTCTACGTAGGCATTACATTAAGGTACCCTGTTAGTAAAATTAAAAAAAAAGTTCTTTCGCCTATGGATATTATGGCTATGCTGTGGATAAAAAACCTCCCCGAAACGTTCAGTTGCGACTGTCAATAACTTAATAAATGACACTCATTGATGCGAAAATTGATCGTTTACTTTTTTTTTAAATGTTACCCCCATACTAGTATTTTCTCCTGTATCGTGGAAACAGTTTACATAGATAAAATGCCCAAGGGTAGACATCCAAACCATGCACAATTATTTGTAGGCCATACAAATACTTGTTCCGTGCCGAATTCGAACTCGCGGCCCTCAGCGCTGCGACTCATTGCTAAGCTACTGCGCCACGAAGCCGAATTAAAGCAGCTGTCAATATTAGTAAATATCAATCTCATAAAAATTGGCAATCTTAATGGACCGTTTCGAGAGCTTAAAAGGAAATCGGTATGTGTGCGCTAACAAGCGCAACCGGAATAACCGGATACATTTTCTGTATAACCGATTGTCCCAGTTCCACGTGTGTTTAGGGAAACAATCATATGAGACAGTATGTTGATACAGATACACGGTAAAAAAAATGCAGTCTAAGCACTGGCTACAGGCACTTTTGTTTATAAAAAGGGTAATTAAGTAGTAGCTTCTTAGTTGTTATATTTGCTATATTGAAATAGTACATTAGTTTAAGGTAAATAATTTGCATTTAAAGAGTAATAA